GGATTGGGGGATTCTCACACCAAGAGCACCCTGCTGGGGCTGTTGAGTGCATCAGCATTAGCTTCATCTCTGTGGCCCATTTACCAAGGCTCCTCCCACAGGTTCCATCTTTCACACATGTAAGTACTGTCAAGGTCCTTCTGTGCTTGGGTATGGCTGCTTCCTTCCTTAGAATGACCTTTGTTTTTTTTTTTTTTTTTTTTTTTGGTTTGCTTTTGTTTTTTGAGACAAGGTCTTTCTATCTCTATATACTGTAGTGCAGGCTGGCCTCAGACTCACTATGTAGTCCAGAATAGCCTCAAACTCATGGTGATCTTCCTGCCTCAGCCTCCCATGTGCTGGGAATATAGGTACAAGCCACCATGCCAAGCTGACATTTTTACTGTAGTGACTAGGAGGGGTGCTACTGGCATCCAATGGATAGAGGCCAGAGATGCTGCCAACTCCCCTTCAGTGCATGGGGCAGGCTGCCCCAAAGAATGATCCAGGTTGAATATCAGTGGAGTCAGGGTTGAGAATCCCTGTGGTGGTCTCAAGTTCTCTGCAGTGGGCTGCACCCTGGGTAGCACTGATCTGTGGTATCTGAGGTCTCCTGGATTCTGAGTGCTGAAGCCAAAAAGGCCACTGTAGAAAGCCAACTTTCTTCCTGTTACCTGGTGGCCACAATTCTTGCCAAGATGGGAATTGGAGGGCCTGTGGCAGGAGAACTGATAGTGTAATGATGTACTTGAGAAAGTTACCCATGGAAAACCAAAATATGAGAAACAAGTGAGATTTATTTCAAAAGCTGCAGTGCTCAGTCAGCTCAGGCCATGAGCTACCGACTGCTTTGTTCTCTTTCTTTGTATGCCCCTGTATGAGTTCACAAGGTCAGGGGGTTACCATGGATATCATCTTTTTGCAGCACTATCATTGCTTTGAAGCCATTACAAGACCTTCTTACACATCTCGTTAATTGACAAACAGAATGTGGGCACCAGGCAGTTTGGTCACCTTGAGATAAACCTGTTTGTTCCCCTTTTTGTAGTGTTTTTTTTTTTTTTTTTTTTGGTACCGAGGTTCAAACTCACGACCTCATGCTTGCCAGGCAAGTGCTTAAGCTGCTGAGCTAAATCCCTGGCTTCCCTTTTTGTAGTTTTTATGGCCAATTAAGAGAGAGGAGGAGGGCTTTTGGGGACTTGGCCAAAGTTCACTTGCTGTTTAAAGTCTAACTGCTAGCTAAGCATCTAAGCTATAATCTATAGGCCATAAAATGAGTGAAGTTCTCAAGACTAGGGTTTGGGTGGTTTCAAAGAGAAAAGGGCAAAGAAAAGAAAGCAAGTAGTGGGGACGACAAATGCCCTCACAATAGGAAAAGAGAAACAAGCAAACACTTCAGGAAATAAAGTAGATAGGCTTCAAACAATGTTAAAACTGGTGGCTGGGAGTGGTGGTATGCACCTGTAATCCCAGCTACTTGGGAGATTAAGGCAGGAGGATCAAAAGTTTTGCAGTTAGCTTGGGCAATTTAGCAAGAGCCTGTTTCAAAAAAAAAGGGCAGAGGCTGTAATTCAGTGGTACAGCACCCCCATACTGCAAAAAAAAAAAAAAAAAAGCCAACTAGAAAAACATGGAGAAAATAATAGAAAATTAGAATCTAGTAAAACATTAAATTAAAAACTAAATGAAATGAAGAGCTGGACATGGTGGCACATACCTATAATCCTAGCACTTGGGAGACTGAGGCAGGAGGATTGCAGATTTGAGGCAAGCCTGAGTAATATAGTGAGTTTAAGGGCAGCCTGGATTACATAGCAAGATTTTGCCACCTCCCCCCAAAAAGTGAGTGAGAATATTTACTAAGAACATAGCTGGGCGTGTGGTGCATGCCAGTAATGAATCCTAGCACTTGGGAGGCTGAGGCAGGAGGATCTTAGAGAGTTCAAGGCCAACCTGGGCAAATCAAGGAGGGCCTGCCTAGCTTGCCCTAGCCTGGGTTCCATCCCTGTCATGGGGAGGGAGGGCAAGGAGGCAGGTGGAGGGCTGAGCGAACATAAAGGGGAAAACAAAGTAATAATGTAGACCACGTGGAAAAGTGAACTGTGTGAACCACAGAGTAGATCAAGGATGGAGAGCAGCAATTGAGAATGAGAAATGTTAATCAGGGTGATGTGCACAAGAAGGATGGAGACAGGGCTCTGTGAAGCCAAGCAGCCTAGAGGTCAGAGGTTCACATACTGGACAAGAACTGATGGGGGTGGGGCCTGGCTCGAGCAAATATGAGAGGTATTAATAGGTGACAAAGTCCCAGGACAAAGTCCTAGGGGTAGGGCCAGCCCCGTTCAGTGGAATGTCCCAGTTCCAGCAGTGCACGTGTAGGTGCAGACACTGAGGGAACAGAGCAGTGATTACACGCCTCCAAATGTCAGTGCTCTTAAGTGTCCTCGACCTGGGGCTCAGGGTGGAGCCTTATTGGAACTCAGCTCAGATGGCCTGGCTTTTTTGCAAGAGCTGGGGAAGGTTTGGTGTGTATGTGTGTGTGATGGGGGGCTATGAACTGATTAAACGAAATTTACTTTATTTTTGAGACAGGGCCTTGCTATGTAGTTCAAGCTGAATTTGAACTCATTATGTGGCCCAGGCTGGCCCTGAGACCCTTCTGCTTCGGCCTCTCCAGTGCTAGGATTACAGATGTGCGCCACCATGCCTGGTTTAGGCATACCTTTAAAGACATATTTTTTATGTATTTTATCCAGCAATATATGTTTTGTATTGCAGACCAGCCTCATCTTTCACATTACAAGCGCTGCAGATTTCAGTAATGTGGTTTCTATGAAGCTAAATCATTCCTAATCAGATAGAAGATCACCTTTTCTCCCTTCAGTCCATTTCCTGGATCTGCTTGGAGCCGGCAGTGAGCAATTATTGAGTATCTCTTGCATGCCAGCACACCCCTAGCAGTAGGTTCTCCAGGAAGGCATAGCCTCGGCCTGAAGGGATTCCAAGAGAACTTGATTGCTGTAAATGAGTAAAGCAAAAACATGAATGCACCCCGCTCTTACACAGTTGTGCAAAAGGACAACATGCACATAGGACACCTTAGAGGACTCAGCACATGTGGCCCTATGAAGCTGGGGAGCAGCATGAACAAATATGGCGAAGCTGACATTTTTTGGGCAAGGGCAGATGAGAGATTAGAGAAGGCAATGTAAGGTGACAGGCCTTTGCTTGGCATAAGAGTGCTAGTTAGTAAACACCAAGAAAGCTTCAACAAGGCTAGACTATGATTGGGATGTAGTTTAAAAGGTCACTGTGTCTCATGTGGTGGTTTATTCCTCAGAGGGCCAGGTGACTTGTTAGAGGTCTCTCAAAGAACCCAGAAAAGAAACGAGGGCCCATGGCGAACTAGGTAAAATTGGGGTCATTAAATAGGCAAAATTAGCAGGACATAGTGCCTGACAGGATGCAGTGGTGGTGAAAATGGGCTCAATTTCTTCCTTTATTGATAAATGGGCAAATAAAAGTGATACACATTTAACGTGTACAGAACGTTTGGGCTGGGGACATGGCTCAGTGGTAGAGTGTGTGTCTAGCATGCACAGGGTCCTGTTTTTGATTTCCAGTGCTGCAAAAAATGTTTGGGAATAGATGTACATTGTAGGGTAGCTAAATCACACTAATTAATATGTGCATCGCCACACATGCGCACCCCTTTGGGGAACTAGAAATGTTAAACTCCTAGCAGCAGATAACAGAATGGTGGCTCCAAGGGGCTGGGGTGGGGATTGAGAAGATGGTGGTCAAAGGACAGAAATTTTAATTTGGCCAGGCGTAGTGGCCCACACCTATAATCCTAGCATTTGGAGGATCACCAACCTAGGCTACATTGCGATACCATGGGCCAAAATACCCCCCAAAAAGAAAAAAATTTTCAGTTAGGAGAAATAAGTGTGAGAGATCAACTGTGCAACCTAGTGATTATAGTTAATAACAATGTATTGTATTGAAAGTTGCTGAGAGTAGATTTTAAATGACCTCAGAGTTTCTGATGAGGTCATCACCACTCATGAGCGAGATGTAAAGAAAAAGGGGCAGGTCTGAGGGAAAGCTGGCAAGCTGACTATTGAACCTATATTCAGCCATGTATACTTTTTTAGATGCAGAGATAGGTAGAAAAATTTACAACCATTATTTTTCAGAAATTAAGATAAAATTGGCTTGAAATTTTAAGTCTGATAGGACATGTATTTTAGGTTCTGGCTTCCTCAGAACTTCAGCAGTGCGTTTTGGAGCAGGAATGGCTGAGTTTCAGATGTGCTCATGTTACCCACATTTTTTTATTGGTGTATGTTTGTGATGTGTAGTAAATACCTTCATTGTGGGGAACTGGTAGATAGACATATTGCCCCTTGATCCTTTTTACTTCCCTTTTCTCCTATGCTCCTGTCTCCCCATTCTCAGACCCTCTGCCAATCTTTCAAGTAACCACCTCTTTGATTCATTGATTGTTTTTTAGTCTCAATTTCATTAATTTCCTCTCATTTCCATACTTTCTTTCCTCTTATTAGTTCCGGATTTGTATTGTTTGTCTATGATGAGGTTAATTATTGGGGATCGCTCTATTTTTATGTGCACATTTGTAGCTCTAACCTTCCCTCTTAGAGCTGCTTTCATTGTGGCCCATCGGTTTTGGAATGTTGTGCCTCCATCGTCATTTGCTTCTAGGAACTTTTTAAAATTTCTCCCCAAGTTTTGTCTGTGAGCCATTAGTCGACTATTCAATAATATATGATTTAATCTCCATGTGCTTGTGTAGTTTCTGTGGCTTCCTTTGCTCTTGATTCTGCTATGATCCAATAGTGTGCAGGGGATTATTTCAATTATTTTGTATTTATAGGAGCATGCTGTATGACCTAAGATGTAATCTGCTTTGGGAGAAGTTCCATAGGCTGTTGAGAAAAATATATTCACAGGTGTCTTATAGCTTGAAGGGAAGGCTTAAGATTGCTTCTTCATTTCAGGTACTTCAAAAGTCTGTGGGCCCAGCCAGCCTGAGCTTGCTCACCTTCAGAGTCTATGCTGCACCAAAAAAGGACTCGCCTCCCAAAAACTCCATGAAGGTCGATGAGGTAACACACCATCCTTGTGGCAATGTGTTATGAACACCCGACTTAATTACTGCAGGGGAGTATTTATAAATTGCATATCAGGAAGACAGTAGATATTTATTTTTATTTTTAATTTTTGTGGTATTGTTACCAGGTTCTGGGGGCTTGTAAATTCTTTCTACGGTTTTTTCTAGGTTCTTATCTCAAACAAAGACATGGACAAGACATGCAAAAAAGGTAGCGAGATTTTTTTACTTTTATTACAGGTAGGAAAAGAAGCTCTGCAGAGTGAGTTGGACCATCTGCAGGTAGAAAAGAAAGACCTCTGCAGAGTGAGAGCAAGACACTAAAGAGCTCACAGTTACCAGGAGGTTAATGGCGAGGTCTTTTGGATCCCTCAGTCTCCAGGATGGTGTCAGACTAGGCCATCCTATCAAAATCCTGCTTGATCTTGTGCCAGAAGAACTGAAGACAGCACTTTCCGATTGGTCCCAGATGCAGGGTTGGGAACTGTGTTCTGTGGATCTCCGTGATTGACAGGCCTTGCCCACTTGCCCAGTCAGTTCACCACACCCTAATCTCTGGTCTCAGTTTTGGAGGTGGAGCCCAAGGCCGTGCCACGTGATAGGCAAACACTACCCTTGGGCTACATCTGCAGCCCAGTTAGAAGATATTTAAAAGGAGGAAATATATTTCTTTATGTATATTTTGTTTTCTTTGTGGGAAGTTACTAAGCTGTGGCTTTTCAGCAGATAAATTCTTTTAATGGTTTTAGCTGAGGTCATAATTAATTAATATTTTATAGAATTTTAGTGGGGAACTTGCTATGTCCCAGCAGATTATAAACACAGATCAGTATTCTGAGAGGCCTGGCAGGTTCTGGACTGCTTTTTTTTCTGGACTGCTAATTGAGACAAGAAAATCATATTTTTCTCTCTCAAAGATATTTGAGATATGCAGTCTCACTGCTTCTTGGCTGGGTTAGAGGCTCATAAATAGATACTTAGTACACATTAAATAAATAACACAGCCTTCTCTATTGCTTACATTCTTCTTTGCCTGTGCTTCCCACTGGTGATTTGGATATTTGATTTCTTTGCTTTTGAATAAAGTAATATGCATAGGTATCAAGTAACTCCCAGGTGGAGTTATTTGAACTGTTTACCTGCAGCTAATTATCTTTGCCTTTTACTTGCTTCTCAGGCCTTGGGACAGAGGCATGTGGGTGACAGAGGCAGTTGGGAGAGGTTGTGGGAAGTTTGTGCTTTAGGTGGGGACAAACCGGCTCTCCTGCTTAGATCGGCACCACGCTGATTATCATGTGAACTATGCAACCAGTTATTCTTCAGCTACTCTAAAATTTTTTATGTTTGTTTCTAGTTTTTGATTTCTCTGTGTAGTTCAGGCTGATCTTGAATTTGTGGTGACTCTCTGGTCTCAGCCTCCCAAGTGCTGGGTTTACAGGTGTGCACCACCACATCTGGCCCTTCAATTTTTAAAAAATTCTCCTTCACTAGCACTTTTGAGTCCTAGAATCTATTTTCCAAAGTAAATCTGAGGTAGGATACCAGATACCAGCGTATAAAAGGGGTAAAGGGTGATGCTTTGTTTGCCAGCAGCTTATGCGGAGGGAATGGTACACTTTAGAGCCCTGCCCTCTTGGCCTTGTCCATATGTTTTTTCCTGGTATTGGGGATTTTTCCCCTGGTACAGGGGCTTACACATGGTAGGCAAGTTATCACTGACCTACATCCCAGCTGTTTTTATTTTTTAAAATTTTGACACCTAGTCTCACTATGTTGCTGGGGTGGCAATTAGGCTTGCAATTCTCTTGCCTCATCCTCTCCAGTAGCTAGGATTACAGGTATCTATCATTATGGTTGGTGTCTTGTACTTACTGATTAAGGGAGAAAAATGCAAAGATTGTCTGAAATATAGTCATAAGTCCCATGTAACCTTGTCCCATGTAACCTTTAGGGTCACAGTAATTTATGAACTATTAGAAATATTCTGACTATAAATCTGATCATTTATTATGTGATCTCACTGTGCTTTCTTCTTTTTAACGTGTATAGCTGTCACTCTACTCAGTACCCGAGGGTCAGTCTAAATACATGGAGGAGCCAAGGACTCAGCTTGAAGAAGGCATCTCACAGCTCCGACATCACTGTGAGCCGTATACAAATTGGTGCCAGGTACAGCTGTTGAGAGTCAGTAATAAAAAGTCTGTACTGAATTGCATATTTTTTGGGAAAAGGCATAATAAATGACCCTGAGTTAAGAGTGCTCAACTTATTAGGTGTTCTTCAGTGCCACTTGGAGGGTGGGTGTAGTGACGCCCTTGCTTCCTGGTGGCAGGTCTTGCCATAGATGGCAGAGAGAGCACTGGTCGCTACCTTGTTAGTGATGGTTCTGCAAACTTCTTATCTATCAGGGAGGATGTGGGACTCTCATAGAAGGAAAGGGCTGCGGTGTAAGTGTTTAGGTCAAAACTGGAATAGTATCCTGGCTGCAGAGATTGTGCAAATCAGTCTGGATGAGTACCCTAACCTGGGAGCATTTTGGATTTTTACATAAGGGAAACTCAACCAATAGTCTATATGAATATTCCAAAATGGAAAAGAAAACTTGCCAGGCATGGTGGCGCACACAGGTAATCCCAGGACTCGGGAGGCTGAGGCAGGAGCATTGCTGTGAGTTCGAGGCCAGCCTAGGCTACATAGTGAGTTCAAGGCTATACTGAACTGCAAAACAAGAGTCTGGCTCAAAACAAAACAAAACCAAATACCAAAGAGGGAGTAGGACTCCAAAATCTGAAGCACTCTGGTCCCAAGCACTTCAGATAAAATATACTCAGTCCATACCACTCTAAATGGGAATGGTTATGAAGCATTTTATTTACACTAGGAATCCGGGTGCCAAAATGGGGTGGAGGTATATTTGAGAGGTGAATTGTTTGTTTTCATGACCAAAGGACTTTAAGTATTTTAGATTGGCTTCTGTCCCTGCTCATATTTTAGGTCAGGCATTCGTCATGGCAGGAAGGAAATTATTTTTGTATTTTTGTCACATCTGCAACTGAACTTTGCAGTCTACAGGGTGTTTTTGTAGGCATGAATATATGTTTGCTGGGTCTTGATCTTGATTTTGAAAATTGAGGACAGATGAGTAAAAGCTAGTATGCAGATGTGTGCAAAATGGTCCACATGTACCTTGCTTGAGATTTACTGACTCAGCATTTATTCAGAACTTTTAAATTTCCACCGTCTGCGCCACAGCTGAACTTTTGTTCACCAGTTGAGAAAAAAATAGTATGCATGAGCTTTATCAACAGTAGAAATTAGAAATTATACCTAAGTGAGCTGTGAAATACCTCAAGATTTCCTACAGTAATGTGCTGTAAAATATTTTTACTTTATCCTCTTTAACTGTCTGCTAGTAATTAAGATTGGTAAGGGGTTGGGCTCTAGCTCAGTGATAAGAGTTTGTGCTTTGCATGCACAAAGCCCTGAGTTCAATCCTCAGCACCAAAAAAGAAAAAAAAAGGGTTAAGTCAGCAAATATATCAGGTATTTTTGTGCCATTAGTAGTCCTGTTGGCATGACTACTAATTGGCAGTGTATCTGTTCAGTTGGTGCTGGCAAAGAGAAGCAGGGCCTTGCACTTGCTAAGAATTACTTTACCTTGAGCTACAGCCCCTGCCTGATTTTTTTTTTTTTGAGACAGAGTCTTACCATGTATTTCAGCCTGGCCTTGGACTCACTTTGTAGCCGAGGCTGACCTTGAACTCATAGTGATCCTCCTGCCTCACCCTCCCAAACTGTGGGATTACAGGCATGTGCCCCCAGCATGTCCTTTTTCTGAGGAACTAATTTATTGTTTTAATATTAAAATGATGAAACTAGTAAAAGAGTGAGCTGTTATTCTAGATGTCAGGCTTTTATTTTTTAAAGAGTGAAAAAAACAATAATGAATTTTAATGAAGCAATATTAAGTTCTTTATGTCCTCCCCCAAATTTAGCCTGAGGCTAATGTGTTCTGACTTGAACTGAATTACATCAAACAAATCCTTTTCCAAGTGGCAGCCCATTCTGGTACTACTGTATGTTTTTCTATCTTTACTGTATTGTTCTTATAGCTGGGTACCTTCTAGCTAGTGCCTTGTTTCCTTTGGGATCATCTGGTGTTCATGAACAGTTTTTAAATTGTCACTCTTAAGGTCACTACTCCATTTGCTTCCAACTGGGGCTTCTTCACCAAATGGAGTTACTGACTACTTTGTCCTGTGAAAGCTTGTCACTCCTGCTTCAAATGGGCACTTTTCACATGTAGGCTGTTATGTAGAGGCAGACAAGAACTAGAATTCCTCTAAAAGATTTAATCTCGTGAGAAGAGGCCTGCCACTGTAATTAGAAAGGGCTTGACTTTGAGTTGTTTCCTTCCATTTGAAGAAAAAAGAGAGAAGGCCGGCCTGCTGAAACTGCTCTGCTCGGGATCTTTGCATCCTGTGGCAATAGGAAGACATTCTGCTGAACACTTTGCAATGAGGGGAAATTACAAAAGAAAAAGAAGCCAGCCCAACAAAACAGAGAGGACACATCTCTTTGTTCAGATGTTCTCCTTACTGGGGTGCAGCTCACTGGTAGAGTACCTGCTTAGCCCACCTGGCCGGGGTTCGAAGACCAGCAGCCATACAGCAGCACATATTAGTAGCTTGATAGTTTGTTCAGTAAAGATGAGTATGTTTACTGTGTTTCTTTCTAACCAGCAAATTCTACTTATTTCACTTTTTACCTTTTTAGGAAACATACTCCCAAACTAAACCCAAGATGCAAAGTTTGGTTCAGTGGGGATTAGGTAAGTTGATTTTTTAATTAGGCAAATCAGTTATTCAATTAATATCAAACTGTTTGGGATTCCATGAAAGGGTCTGTAGATCTGTGGGTTCCTTAGAATTGTAGTCACAATTGTTTTATTTTGTGTTTGCCTGCTGTACCTCTGACAAAGAATTAATAGCAAGAACATATAAAGAACTAAAAAAAAAAAATCAGTCCTCCCAGATTTGGAGACCCAATCCATATATGGGCATCTGAGATGAATACACACTTCTCAGATAAAGAAGTACAAACAGCAAATAAATATGTGAAAAAAATGTTCAATGTCACTGGGCATTCGAGGGATGCAAATTAAAACAACACTGAGATTCTGTCTCACCCAGGAAAGAATGGTTATTATCAAGAAATCAACCAATAACAAATGTTGGCAAGGCTGCCGGGAAAAAGGAACCCTTCTCCACTGTTGGTGGGAGTGTAGACTGGTACAGCCACTGTGGAAATCAGTGTGGAGATTCTTCAAAAAACTAGAGCTAGAAGTCCCATTCAGCTTAGCTATTCCCCTTCCGAATATCTTCCCAAAAGAATTAAAAAATACCACAATGATATATGTGCACTCATGTTTATAGCAGCACAATTTATAATAGCCAGATCTTGGAAACAACCCATTGCCTGAGGAATGGATAAAAACAATGTGGTATTTTTATGCAGTGGAGTACTATTCAGCCATAAGGAAGGATAAACTTTGAGACTTTTATAGGTAAATGGATGCAACTTGAGACAATACTCATAAGTGAAATAATAAATCAGGCACACATGTGTAAATATAGTATTATCTCACTAGTGTGAGAAGCTGAAGTAAACAACATATGTATATGTATAAGTATATAAAAAATAGTTAAGATAGTTATACTACTGATTTCTCTTAGTTCATTGAGTAGAAAGATTTGTGTTGGTATTGTTCAGACAGTTGAATGCAGATGTCTTGTGCTCTGGGTGAATGATGGGGATGACTATGCACAATGTATGTACCAGTGTTGCCCCAGTTGATGTGTTTTGAAATTTTTTCTTTTTTTTTCTCTTTGAAATAAAATGGATTTGAAAAAAGCACTTGTTTTAGTTTGCTTTTTGACACAGCCTCACTGTGTAGTTCAGGCTGGCCCTAAACTTACTGTGTAGCTCAAGCTGGCCTCAAACTCACAGTGACCCTCTGCCTCAGCCTCTTGAGTGCTGGGATTACAGGTATATGCCACCACACCTGGTTTATACTCACAAAAGTAGAGCTATGCAGGTTTTTTTTCTGGAAAGAAGATCTCTTGTTTTCATCAGATTTCAGAGCACTGCATCCTCTAAGTGTATTGAATATAGTTAGGATTATTGGGTGAGCAAGCTCAGGTACACTGGAATTTTGCGGGGAGAGTAGGGCTTTGCTTTGTAATTTCATGCAAGATGCACTGAATTTTTAAAAAACCATTTTCCAGGTATATTGTAGTACAGCACATTAATCAATAGATTTTCAGAATAGCTCGTTTGCATTGCTGTTACATACTATAGAACAGTTATGCCGAACCTATTGCATGCATGTTACTGCTTTTTTCTTTTAAGATAAAAGATGTAAATGTATGAGTTGTATTTTTCTAAATTGAAATCTCTGTTCAGGTTTAACTGCAGTGTTGATACTTTGCAATAAATAAGTGGGGTTTGGGGGTGCAGTTTGGGTGCTCATCACCGCTATAGAAGTTTAGAAGCAGAAAGGAACTGATCTGACGCCTCTGGGAACAGTCCTGATGTGCAGTTAGCAGTGTTCCCTTCTTTCTTTCTTTTGTCGTACAGGGGATTGGACTCTGGGAGCAGTGAGCTACATCCCAGCCCTTTCTGATACAGTATTTTTATTTGGAGAGAGGGTCTCACCAGGTTGCCCAGGCTGGCCTCAAGTGTGTAATCTTTCTTCCTCAGCCTCCTGAGGAGTTGAGATTACACCTTTGTTGCACCATACCTGGCTCATGTGGTCTTTATTGTCCTGAATTATTTCTCTCCTGTCGGCAACTTATCCCATATCAAGGACCCCTGCAGTGGGCTCCAGTCTCCTGCCAAACATTACTGGGCTCAGCAAAAAGAAAGATCAAGAGACAAAATAGCAGTGCAGCAGGGAACTGAGATAAGTTGTTCACAGGCAACAAAAGGCCGTGAGGCCAACAGAACCTCAGTATTTAATGATTACATCTGTGTGAAAGACAATGGGTGAAGGGCAGTGAGTGTTCCCGGAACAGTGATGGTGACCATGACGGACTAGCAAGAACAAAGCATTCTTGTAAGGAGGAGGCCAGGCAATAAGAAAGCTGTAGTTTCCTCAGGTGCTTTATCATCCTTCGCAGATCTTATCTTGCCATATGAGTGCAGGAGTATCACTAGCCAGAGGGCTTCAGCTGCAACCAGAAGAAAGCAGGGAGTCTGGCTCAGAGAGCAGGAAAAGGACAGCGTCTGATGTCCCCTGACTCAGTTTATAATCTGTGGTCCTTGGCAATCACATGCACTCATAAACTGAGTTCACAGTCTTCTATTTGGACTAATCTCAGTGAGGAACTTATAAATTAATAGAGATAACAGTTCCACTTCATTTACTTATTGAACGTGGTGATAAGCAGAAATCTTGTTTTTAAAGGGTTTGTTTTCATGATGGAACAAAACAAATGTGTCACTGTGGAGGTCTCCATTGTAACCTGTGTTGTTGGCAGTATTGGCTTGTTCTTTTCTTCTCGTGGACCCAGAGTTACTACAGGTGCAAGCAAAAGCCGTCCATGACAAGGTGTATTGTTGTCACCAAGTATCTTACTTTTCTCATTTTTGAGACAAAATACCAGATCCTAAAGTTAAGGAGAGAAAGGCTTATTTCAGCTCACAGTTTGTGGAGGTTTCAGTTCATAATCAGAGTGGCTCCAATGTGGGGTGGCATGGCAGAGGGGCATCACAGAGGAGAAATAGTTCATCGCGGGCAGAAGGCAGGAAGGCAGCAAAACCTCAAGGTAGTGAGGAAGCAGCAGCAGCAGCAGCAGCAGCAGGGAACCTCCCTCTCCCTTTTATTCCTTCCAGGCACTTTTCTGGTGCCTCCCACACCCAGGATGGGCCTTCCCATTATCTACACCCAGAACTACCAATCAGTGGACTCAGTCATCACACACCCTTAATCCCAGCACGACACACTCAATCCAGCCACCTCTGAAAAGCCCTACCAATGACTGCATGAGGATTGGGGGGATAACTAGCCACAGCCATCACACTAAGGCTATGAGACCATTCCCAGAGGTCAGTGCTCAGGCATCCTAGTGGGAGCTGGGCTTTGGTATCCAACACAGTCTCAAAACAACATCTCTCCTGTGCTTTGCGATGACCATATTGGCTCTGCTCACCACAGCTGTCTACAGCCTCTGGTTCACTGCTCCTTGAGCCTGCCTAGAATTTTGCAATGCTGTGCTTACAGTTAGGCAGAAATAAAGGGAAGTTCACAGTTGCCTGAGATGACCCAGAGGAGAAGGTGCAAAGTAGAAACTAGGTTAAAGGAAAAAGAAAGAAAAGACCAGATAGGAATTAATGCAACCATAATACTAGCCCTAGAGTAGTGTTTAAAATGATCAAAGAATTTCCCCCAAGAAAACCAGGAGTGGGGAATAGAGACATCTGTGGTATTACCTGAGGGAGAGGATTACTGCATAGTCTAATTGATAAGTTCAGTTCACCATACATAATTTAAGTCACCATCATGCCACTATTGAAGATCAAGATTGACTAACGGTGATCACAACCACTGAGATACATTAATAAATTATTTGATACTAAGTTAATACTGAGCTAGGCATGGGGGTGCCTGGGCTGCAATCCTAGTACTCAGAAGACTGAGGCAATAAGATCACTGCAAGTTCAGTGCCAGGCTTGGCCACATAGCGAGTTCGAGGCCAGCCTCAACTACACAGTGAGACCCTCTCTCAAAAAAGAATATTAAGCTGGGCATGGGGGTACACACCTATAATTTCAGCACTCAGCAGGCTGAGGCAGGAGGATCACTGAATTTGAGGCCACCCTGGGCTATGCAGTGAGCTGAAGGCCAGCAAAACCCTGTCTCAAAAAAAACTAGTGGAAATACAGAGATAATCACAGACCACTACTGAAGGTGTAGATGCAGCTGAGTAGAGACTGGGGAGATGAAAGCAGTTGGGAAGAGTTTCTGAGCTGAGTCAGGGAGCAGTGTTAGTCTCAGTACACTGTGGGGCATGACCGCAGTGTGGTCAGCCTTAGAGGGAGGGCTTAGGTTTGAGTGTTGGAATCCACCAACATATCCACTGCCGGAAGATAATCTGTAAGTAGCAGCCCATCATTAAAGAGCTTTTGTTCTCAGTGGGAAGACATAAGACACATGTCTGAGCCAGTGGTGGTGCATACCTGGAATCTCAGCTTTCTGGGAGGCTGAAACAGGTGGATCACAAGGTCAAGTCTTACCTGGGCAACTTAGTGAGCCCCTGTCTCAAAAAATTAAAAGGGCTGAGGCTGGGACTCAGTTGTAGAGTACACCTTGGTTTGATTCCCAGTACCAAATACAGACACACACACACCTGAATAATTAACTATGAAGTACTATATAGGCTTAGATACCAAGTAACAGAACTGATGGGACATTAGGGGAGGAGGACAGGTCTGGCTGATGAGCTTAGGAAAAGCTTTCCTGAGGAGATAGAGCTCAAACTGGCTCTTACTTGGTGAGATTGGTTCAGTGGAGAGGAAAGGAGGGGAGAGCGCAGAGGACAAGTGGCATAATGCAAATAAGGTCACAGGGCATGCTGAGGCTTGGTGAGGACACTCACCTATTTGATTGATTTATTGATTGATTTTTGAGACAGGGACCTCACTGTAGTTCAGGCTGGCCTTGAATTTGCTATGTAGCCCAGGGTGGTCTTGAACTCACAGTGATCCTCCTGCCTCAGTTTCCTGAGTGTTGGTATTACAGATGTGTACCACCATCCCTGGCTACTTTTATTGTCACTATCAACAGTGTCTATTTCCCACATAAACTTGTACTGTGAGTCTCCTTCTTTAGCCAAATTTATTGTTCTTGTGTTCAAATAATGAGTTCAGATGGCAAAGGATACTTATTTTTCTGAAGCTGCCATATTTGGTTCCTGAAAGGATGTGTAGAAAAGAATATATTAGCAGAAAGTAAAAAATAAATGGCTTGCAGCTTGGGATTTAGCTCGCATAAGTGCCTGCCTGGTGAAAGGTCGTGAGTTTGATCCTCAGTACCAAATAAATAAATAAATAAATGGCTCGAAAAGCATTTGATACTATACTATGTATACTATTTTTCTGTTTTTTAATGAGTTGTTTATGAACCCATCTGATTCTCTTGCAGACAGCTATGAATATCTCCAAAATGCTCCCCCAGGTTTTTTTCCAAGACTTGGTGTTATTGGTTTTGCTGGTGTTGTTGGACTCCTTTTCACTAGAGGTATGTGTGGTTTTCTAGGCTCTTTATAATGGTCCGTGCATATAAAAGAGATAGGGTATCTGGTTCTTTACTCTCATTTAATAGTTTTCAGAACAACGAATTGCTTCCTGGATATGGTCTTAATAGATAATTAGCATGGTTGTTTACTCCATTAAATTTGTCTCTAAGCATATATAAAATTGTATACTCTTGGTAAAAAATATTTGTCACTCTTAATAAGCATATTTGTTTAAATCCCTATTGCTCTTTGGTACAGAAAGAGTAAACTTTTGTCCAGAGTCTTTTATACTGGAGAAGTAAACTCCTAAGTGTTTCAGGCTATGAGTCACAGTAAATAGTGATTTAATACGACATTTATTAACTTCTTGATGTATCATAGCTTATGTCAGTGGTAAAAGCTTTTGCAGTCTTTAGATTTTAAAGCTAATAAAGTTGGTGATGCATGCCACCAGTGCTTGGGAGGCTGAGGCAGGAGGATCATGAGTTCAAGGCCAGCCTGGGCTATATAGCAAGACCTTGTCTCAAAAAAAAATTAACAAGTGAATTTATTACTAAAATACAACAAATATATCACTATGGGCTTGAGAGTATAGCTCAGTGGTAGTGCACATGCCTAGCACACAAGGCCTTGGGTTCGAGCGCTAGCACCCCAACACACACACACATATTACTAGACTCTACGGCTAGGTTGCACAAACATTTATGGGAAAGAAAGAAGAATAAAAGATTTCACTATGATGACATTAATTTTTTATGAATTGTATAGGTACTTAAAGTTTCACTAATTATGAAATAAATGTTTATGGTATAAAATTCAGATATTACAAAATTTCTTAGTAGAGAAATTCCCATAAAGAACCTTGTAATCTGATCTTGATGAAAAGAACAATATTTTGATAGCTATTCCTCCAGTTTTAGAACTCTTCCCTCCTCACCCATCAAGTATTACTTTAGGATGTGGAAGGCAAGCTGGATGTAGTGGCAAACACCTATAATTCTAGCATTTAGGAGGCTGAGGCAGGAGGATTACCATGAGTTCAAGGCCAGTGGGGCTATATAGTGAGAGTATGTCTCAAAAATTTTTTTAGTTTTTTTTTTTTTATCAGTACTAGGGATCGAACTCATGACCGCCTACATGCAAGGCAGGTGCTTATGCCGCTGAGCTAAATCCCCAGCCCATGTCTCAAAAATTAAAAAACAAAAACGTGGCGTGTAGAGAGTGAGCATTGCTGTGGTGCCACTCCCAGCTCACCTGTGGAATGAGCTCATCTCAGAGTCTTTATGTCCTCCCCTTGTGTTATGCAGAATAATGAGAATTAAATTTCTGGTTCAATTTTAGTAATCAATTAATGAACCAACATTTTGTCACACTTCTCCCAAACCTTTTTTTTTTTTTTACAGTGCTGAGCATTGAACACAGGGCCTGAGCAATAAATCTATATCCCCAGCACTTTTTGTTTTTATTTCAAGATAAGGTTTCTCTAAGTCACATAGTTATCCAGGCTGGGTTCAAACTTGTGATCCTTCTGCTTCAGCCTCCAAGAGCTAGGATTACAGACATGCACCACTTGCCTGAATAGACATGTATACACCTAGGCACATGTAGGTGACAGCAAGTCTTTTCCCAGGGGCACTGAAGTGAGTCACATCAGAGGGTTTCCCAGAGCAAGTGAGTGATAAGTCTGTTGTTGGGCACCAGAGGATTTGAGGTCCTCCCAGGAGAAGCAGGATGGGCTGAGAGGTCTCTCTTGGTAGCACTTGTCAAACACAACTGCCAAGTACTAATGAGGATGCTCTTGATTGACTATGCCAGTGGTGTGACGGGAGGGTGCCAGAGAAGTGATTCATGTCACCACTGCCTTCAGGTGCCATCCTCAGCACTGACAGGCAGTGAGTCTCCTCTGCCAGTGCTAGAAGTCACAGGCTACACCCCTGGTTTCTTGGTAGCCATGATAGAAAGTGCCAGGGCGCTCAGGGAGCAGGAGAGGCTGAGGAGTGGACTTTTCTCTTCTAGGAGAGTTGTGCCTCTTGGTGCAGGCATTAGGACTGCGAGAGAAACAGTGTACTCATGGCTAGGTCGGGACACTTGTCTTCTCAGAAGTCCCAGTTTCATCTTCGGGGATTTATTTACCATAGGCTGGGCAATATAGCTCAGTGCTAGAGCACCTGCCTACCATGCAAGGCCCTGGGGTGGATCTTTAGCACCACACATCAAAAAATTCTTTTTAAATAAAAATAAAATTTAGCGAGATGTGGTGGTACATGCCTGTGTTCCCAGCACTCTGGGAGGCTGAGGTAGGACAATCACAAGTTCAAGCTCAGCCTGAACAATTTAGTGAGACCTTGTCTCTAAAATAAAAAAGGGCTGGGGAGGTAGCTCAGTGTGGATGTCCTGTGTTCAGTTTCTAGTACCACAAGATGATAATAATAATATAATTTTAACTCTAATCTGCAGCACTTACATTGTCAGATGTGATTATTTATATACATTGCACTAATACCAATATGGGTCTTCTGTCCACAGCACTGTGCCTCGTGACGGAGCTCATTTCTAGTGTGAGTTCACATGTACTCTCCTGTTTCACCCTCTACTAGTTCTTTGCACATCATTCTCAGCCTTCTGCAAACTCAGCATCCATTCTCTTCTCCACCTCGGCTGCATCCTCCTGCATCCTGGCCTGAGACTTCAACACTGCTCTTGTCTTGGGACTTGGCTCCTGATCTGTCAGACCAGTCCCTTTCTTGGCTCTCCTGTCATCTTCTCCTTGGTTCACTCTGCGGGTTGTCAGGCTGCATGCGTAAGTGGCTCTCAGGGCAGTATATGTTGGAGACAAACTTTCTAGAGCTTTGCATCTTCCTCTTGCCAGTGACAGACTGACTTGTGATAGGACTCATTCCCCATAAAAACATTGAAAGCTGCACCTTCCAAAGTCCAGTGTCACAGTTCGGAGGGTTGATGGCCAAACTGGGTGCTTATTGATTCTGAAATGTTTTTTTAAAACTTCCTTGAAGCTTTGAAGAATGTAATCTTTAGTCTTTTGAATTTTCATGGTGCTGTGGTGACACTTGAGCTGCTTTCACGCCTTGCCTGCATATTTTGATGGCTTGTAGCCTTCAGCTGAAGGATTGTATCCATCTGGTATTTCTTTGAAAGTTTACTCTTCATTTTTCCTTCCTAAAATCACATTCATTAGCAATGAGGTTGTTTTAAAATGACCCTAAATGTCTCATATTTGCTGGATGGTTTTGTTTCATTCTTTTGGATTTTTTTTAAAACTTTAGTCTTTTCTATGAGCTCTTTCTTGTTCTCTGATTTTTTTCATAAAATTGTTTTCTTTTAATGCAGTAGGTTCTTGGTTACCTTGGTGCTACTTAATAACAGGTTTAGTTTTGTTTTGAAGTTCATGTTTTCTTGCTTTTCTCGGTCTTTCTCTTTCATGTTGCTGTGACAGTGATCCTCACTGTCTGGTCATATTTCAGACTGAGGCAATTGAAACGCTAGTAAAGACCCTGCATAGCCGGCTTGCTGACAGGCAGGTTCTAGCTAGGGTGACTCCCCAGGAGCTGAGCTTAGATAGGGTACATGGGGCGCGCTTTATTCTTGGACTCCCACACACAGGCACAGAATGCTCTGGATTCTCATCAGAAAACCCCAGGCATTTCTTTAATGATATCCCACCTGTTTTTGAAATGTTGGCCTGACCTGACTTCTGGCCTTGGACAGTATGGGAGAAGGAATGTGTCATCTGGTCCATGTCCAGGTTGTGCACTTGTGCCCTTGCCTTGATCCTTGGTTGCCATCTCCACTCACCACAATACGAGCCACCTCTGCCTGGGACAGATCTGTTCCCTCCTCGCCAGCAGCCTTCTTTTGGTGGACACTTTAAGGCTGCGTGGCCTCTTCTCTCCATTTTCTGGAAATTTGTTGACATGGTTTTTTCTTTTTTTGTGTGTGATGTTGAGGATTGAACATAGGGCCTTGTCCAACCCTGACTGATACTTCTTATCTGCCAATGATCCTCTACACTTTTTCTCTTCATTGTGGGTTCATTAGTCGATATTTTATTTTTTACTGTTATTTTAATGACTTCTCAGGAAGGAGAAGAAAGGAACAATTGTGTTTGGTATTTAAATAGGTAGCCTATTTGCTGTTATTAAAAAAACCCTTATAAATCAAAATACCACTTTGCTTCTTCTCAAAACAGTCTTTTTGTTGTGATGGTTCTCTTAGAAACATTTGCTGAGTGAAAGAAGGCAGTCATAAAGGATCATGTGTTTTGTGATTCCATTTATTTGAAGTGTCCAGAGTAGGCAAATGTACAGAAAGTAGATTTCTGGTGGCCTAGGGCTAGAGGCCTGAGGGAATGGAAGTGTGTCTTAGTCCTTTTCTCATTACCAAGGCAAAATATCTGACATTTGAATTTAAAGGAGGAAAGGTTTATTTATTTATTTATTTATTTATTTATTTATTTTTGGTATGAGGGATTGAACTCATGACCTCACAACCTCATACTTGCGAGGCACTGGGCTAAGTCCCTGGCCAGAAAGGTTTATTTAAACACAATTTTTAAAAAATCAGTACTGGGGATCAAACTCACAACCACACGCTTGCAAGGCAGGTGCTTATGCCACTGAGCTAAATTCCCAGTCCCAGAAAGGTTTATTTAGCTAACAGTCTGTAGAGGTTTCATTCCATAGTTGGGTAACACAGTGGCAGGGTGACCTGGCAGAGGGCCATTGCAGAGGAGAAATTATAGTTCATGGAGGGCAGAAGGTAGCAAAGCAACAAAGGACAATCACAGCTCTTTCTATCCTTTATATTTTATGCAGGATGCTTAGGGCAGGTAGCATTCACACCCTTGATCCTAGCACCATGAATCAGTCCTAGCATCAAACAGTCTAGATCCAGCTACCTCTGAAAAAGCCCCATTTATGACTGCATGAGGCTTTGGGGAGACATCTAGATACAAACTCTAACACTACCAATGAGTGTGAGCATCTTTTTTTTGTTCTTTTGTTTTGTCCACTCTCAGGATGGAAGCCAGGGCTTTATACATGCTGAGCACATGCTCTATCATTGAGCTGCATCTCTAGCCCCAAGGTTGCAGGTTTCTTTTTGGATGATAAAAATTGATTGAAGTGATGGTGATACAACTTTGTGAATATACTAAAACCCATTAAATTGTGTACTTGAAATGGATGAATTATGAGAATTACATTTCAGTAATGCTGTGAAAAGTGGTGATTCACTATTGAATGTAAAAGGTCAGTTGTGATAGTGAGAATGCTAAGTCATCTGATGGTATGTACAACCTTTTATTTATTAGGTTCAAAACTAAAGAAGCTGGTGTATCCACCTGGCTTCATGGGATTAGCGGCCTCCATCTATTACCCACAACAAGCTATCACGTTCATCCAGGTGAGTCAGACCTAGTAAGTTGGGATGTCCTTCAGGCTTGTTTATGTGGGATATAGGAATTTGCTGCTCCACTGTACTTTGTTTTGCTCTTTTTATAACACCTGACTAAATTTATTTGCATATATAAATGAACCACAATAAATCTAAATGTTTTTCTCCACTATTTACATCAACATTAGCCCTTCTTCTAGTAATGCCAGTGTTCAGAGAACATTCGTGCGAATTAGATTTTTTTTTTTAACACAAGGTCTCACTGTATAGTTCAGGTTGGACTGGAAGTCACTGTATAGTCTAGGCAGGCTTCAGACTCATACTGATCTTACTGCCTCAGCCTCCCGAGCACTGCTCTGACATGTGCACCTGCTAATTTGGATATTAATATGAGAAAATTTAAGGTGACATTTTCACATACTTACACAAAAATAAAAAGACTGATTTTTTAAAAAAACTTATATTTTTATTAGTATATGTTTGCAGCACATAATGTTTATATGCATCGAGGAGAGTTGGTAAATGTACATAACTTATGTTAATAGCACATATAAATTCTTTTTAATTCCTTCTCCTACCTTCCTTCTCTCCAGCTTCTTGGTCCTCTTCCTCCCTTTTTAATTTTTTTCTTGGTTCATTTAAATGATCATATTTATCAAAAGAATTATATACCTGTATATGATATATCTTTCTGCTTCTTTTCTTGTTCCCTTCCCCTCCCACCAACCACTTTTCCCCTTCCCTATTTACAAAAGCTTTGTTTCCATTTTCCCATTTTTCTTTTACCCTTCCTTCTTTTCCCCCTCCCCCATCCCTTATTCTCCTCATTTGAATATTTTCTTCCCATTTTTCATTTCTATTATACATTTTGATCCTTATTTATACTTTCAGTTTCTCACACCAGAGAAACAATGCAATATTTGAACATGTATGTCTGATCTATTTCACTTAAGAGTATGGTCTCAAGTTGCATCCATTTAGCTACAACCATCTCAAGCTGATCTTTCTTTCTGGCATTGTATTAAAAAAACACATCATGCTGCGTGCGGTGGTGTATGCCTCTTATATCAGCATCAAGAGGCTGAGGCAGGAGGATCACTGTGAGTTTGAGGCCAGCCTGGGGTACATAGTGAGTTCAAAGGCAGCCTGAACTACACGTTGAGACTCTGTCTCAAAAAACCAAAAACAAACGAAAAACCAACCCACCAGTTCTTTATGCATCCATTAGTTGTATTTGGGCTGTTTGCAAGATTTAATTGTTATAAACTGTGCCACTATAAACACGGGTGTTCATATGTCACTCTGGTATGATGCTTTTTACTTTTTCAGGAAGATAGCAAGGAGAATAGCTAGGTCAAATGGAACCTCTAGTTTTAGTTTTTTGAGGAATCTCCACAGTGATTTCCACAGTGGTTGCACCAGTCTACACTCCACCAACAGTGCAGAAAGGTTCCTTTTTTCCCCCACAGGTTCTCCAGCATTTGTTGTTGGTAGATTTCTTAATAATAGCCATTCTTTCTAGAGTGAGGTGGAATCTCAGCATTGTTTTAATTTGCATCTCTCGAATGACCAGTGATGTTGAACACTTTTTCATGTATTTATTCGCTGATCATAATTCTTCATTTGAGAAGTGTGTATACATCTCAGATGCCATTTTTTGATTGGCATTTTGATTTAAATTTGTGGCATCTGATTTTTTTGAGTTCTTTATATATTCTAGATGTTAGTCCTTTGTCTGAGGAAGAGCTGGCAAAATTTTGTTCCTACTCTGTTGTTTGTCTCTTCACTCTGTTAGTAGTGTCTTGTTGTGCAAAAACTTTTTAATAAGAGGAGATCCCAGTTGTTGATATTTTGTGATAGTTCCTGTGCAATTGGGGTTTTGTTCATGAAGTCTTTGCCTACATCAGTGTGTTAAAGATGTGTTGTTTCTTCCAACAGATTTAATGTTTCTGTTTTAATATTTAGATCTTTGATCCATTTCGATTTTAGTTTAGTGCATGGTGAGAGATAAAGATTTAGTGTTAATCTTTGGCACGCGGAAAGCCAGTTTCTCCAGCACCATTTTTTTTCTCTTTTTATCGGTACCGGGGATCGAACTCATGACCGCCTGCTTACAAGGCAGGTGCTTATGCTGCTGAGCTAAATCCCCAGCACCATTTATTAAAGAGACTATCTTTCTTCCACTAAAAGCATTTGGCTCTTTGTCAAAGATAAGGTGGCTGAGTGTGTTTGGAGTTGTTTCTGTATCTTCGAGTTTGTTCCATTGATCCTTGGGCCTGTTCTGTTTTTTTGCTGGTCCCATGCCTTTGTTGCCCAGAATTGCTTTTGCTATTCTAGGTCTCTTCTGGTTACAATAAATTTTTGGATTGTTTTTTATTAATACTGTGAGATATGCTATTTGTATTGGATCAGTATTGCATTAAATCTGTGTAGTAATTTTGGAAATATGACCATTTTCATTATATTGGTTCATCCTACCCAAAAGTGAGGAATATCTTCCCATTTTCTGATATCCTATCAATCTCCTTTTTCAGAATACCATAGCTTTCAATGTAAAGGTCTTTATTTTTTTATTTTAAAGAGGAAAAAACCAAGGAAAATAAAACAGTATAATACCAATCAAAATAAACTAGTATAAGTAATATAAGACTTCAAAACCTTATGAAATCAGTAATAGTTATCATAATGCCTTTTGTTGTTTTTGAAATAGCTCCAGATACCTTTGGGCATAGTAAAAATCGAACAGAACAGAATAGAGTAGAAACAATAAAAACAAAACAATGAATGCAAGAAAGGACTTCAAAATAAGCTCATAGTAAATCCAAAGTGGCTACCATAATATCTTGCTATCTTTGAAATAGCTGCTCCTGCCATCAGATTTAACATAATCAAACAAAACAAAAGAGAATAAAACCCAACCCAACAAAACAATGAAAACAGTATGGTTTCTAGGCAGGGACCACCTCATTGTGAGGGCTGTTTCTTTCCCTTTGCAGTCTACAAATGGCACTGACTCATGGAGAGAGGCTTGGGTGTGGCTGTCCCACTCTGGCAGCGGCCCGTGCATGGCACAGGTTTCTAGGTGGGGATCACCTCCTTGTGGGGCTGGTTCTCTGTAAATGTCTTTTACTTCATTAGATTGATTCCTAGGTATTTGTGTGCTATTGTGAGAAGTGTTGTTTCCTTTATTTTTCTCTCAGGGAGTTTGTTATTTGTGTATAGGAGTCATATTTGAGTGTTGACTTTGTATCCAGCTATGTGATTCAATTTTTTCTATTAGGTCTAAAAGGTTTTTGGTGGAGTTTTTGGGGTCTTCCATGTAGAGTATCATGTTATCCACAAATAGTGATAATTTAACTTCTTCCTTTCCTATTTTTATTCCTTTTATTTCTCTCTCTTGTCTGATTGCCCTAGCTAGTGTTTCCAGAACTATATTGAATAGGAGTGGTGATAGTGGACATCCTTGTCTTGTTCCTTATATTAAAGAGAAAGTTTTCAGCTTTTGACCATTTAATATGATATTGTCTGTTGGTTTGTCATAGATGGCTTTTATCAGATCGAGATAAAGACTGTCCAGATTTACTTCTTTTTTTTTTGGCCTGAGCAAATTGCCTTTATTAGAGAAATTACGTAGGATTTAGGAGTTGGCATTGGAGCCCTTCTTCTTGCCTGTCGTGGTCTTCTTCTCTTCTTTCTCTTCGCTCCTTTCCCCACCACTGCTCCATTTGGTCACCTTGGGAGTCTGACCTCTCACTTTTCAAGCCCGAGCTTGGGAACCATAGACTTTACTTCCCAGCATGTGGCCAGCTACTTCCAGAGTGGCCAGGGCTTCTACCCCATGCTTGGAGTAGCCTTATCCTCCAGTGACTTGCCTGCCAGGAGCACGACTTGATCTTCTGCTGTGTTGCCCTCCAGTAAGGCCACATGAGCCTTAATCTGGATGATTGTGTCCTGGCCAATCACTTCAAGAGTTTGTAGGTCTTGGGCGTGGACAACAAGCTGCGTGTTGGCAACTGAATGCCTGACCCATGTGTCACTATTGTGAAGATGGAGGCCAGAAAGGGCTATTACAATTTTCTGTAGGAATTTTATTGTGAATGGGTGTTAAGAGTTTGTCAAAAGCTTTTTCTGCATCTTATCGAGATGATCATATTTTTGTCCTTGGCGCTGTTAATATGGTGTATTACATTTATTGGTTTGTGAATGTTGAACAAGTCCTGCTTCCGTGGGATGAGTCCTACTTGGTCTTGGTGAATAATCGTCTTGATATTTGCTGCATTCTGTTTTCCAGGATCTTCTTGAGGATATTTGCATCTGTGTTCATTAGGGAGATTGGCCTGTAGCTCTCTTTTTTGGTTGGATCTTTCTCTAGTTTTGATATCAGGTAGTGCTTCTAGGAATGAATTTGGGAATATTGCTTCCCTTTCAATTTCATTAAAGAGTTTGAGGAGTAGTGGCATAGATCTTTTCTAAATTTCTTATAGAATTCAGCAGTCAATCTGTAAGAGCCTGGGCTTTTCTTTGTTGGTAGTTTTTAATTACCTCTTCGATTTTACTCACTGATAGCAATTTATTTAGAATTTTATATTTTCTTGATTCAGCTTTGGCAATTCATATGTATCTAGAAATCTGTCATTCTTTGTTTTCATGTAATTAGACACTATGGTAGCTATTGTTATGTCAGGCTGTCTTGTGGTGAAACACTAGTTGCTTATATTGTTCTGTTCTGAAAAAAAAATAGAGTACAGGTTCTCGAAGTAGATATTGATGATCTGGATTTCTTCCAGGTCCATTGTGATTTTGCCTTTTTCATTCCTAATTCTGTGGATTTGAGTGTTTCCTTTTCTTTTTTGATAAGGTTGCCTAAAGGTTTGTCAATTTTATTTAATCTTTTAAAGAATCGACTCTTGAATTCATTGATTCTTTTTATTGCTTTCTCAGTTTTCATTGCATTAATTTCTGCTCTGAGTTTTATAATTTTCTCCCTCATGAGCTTTGGACTTGACCTA